GTGTCCCCTTCTCCACCTCCTCCTGCATCCAGATTTCCTCCCAGAGCTTGCACCCTCACCCCTTCCCACACCCAAATCCCTCATTCCCACCCCAGAGACTACACATCCTGTCTCAACACAGCAAGGGTCCAGCTAGACTGCAGGAGTTTTTCAGGATTCTGGAGATATCCCAGAAAAACTCTTCTGCATCCAGGGTTGCATTTGTTCTTCCGCTTTTTTAGTGGAAGAGCGAACAGGCTCTTTTGGTCACCCCTATATTCCTCTTTCCATAAGGAATAAGAAGGTTTTTTTTTCCTGACATTTGGTCCAGTGTAGACAGGCCAAATGTTGAAAAAAACCTCTTCCTACAGAAGGATTTAAAAAAAAAAGCAGCAGTATAAGGATTGGGGATATCAAGTGATGGAGAGGAGGAGAATAGAGAGGGCGGGGCTGTAGATCTTGGCCTGGTCTGTCATTTAAAAAAGTGATCTTTGGTGTAGAAAGGTTGGAGACCACTGCCCTACTCATTGGGCAGCTACCTCCAAGGAGCTAGAAAGGCCTAGAACTGACCACCATCCATTCCTGCAGCAGGGAGGAGCAACAAAGGGCTGTGCACTCCTCGGGGGAAGAGGATTCAGATGACGACAGCGACCTGTTTGTGAACACGAACAGACTGCACTACAGCTGCACAGAGAGCGAGGATGACAGCGAGGAGGAGGCTGTGGTGGCCAGTGACCAAGAGGAGGAAGAAAAATAGCAACCCGTGGTCAGAAATGTGATCTTCTAGCCTCCCTACCCTTGAGGAATCTGAAGCAGCAGGAAGGAACCTGAACTCACATCCACAGGCCTGGTAAATGCTCCAGCTGTCTTGGGACTGCCTCAGTGCCCCCCCCCCCCCCCATTGGGGGCATATTTCTTCTCTCCATCTCTGCTATCTGAGCCAGGGGCTGCTGGAGCAGCCTGCTCACTAGAGGAAAGTGCTGGGCTTGTGGTGCCGAGGGCATGATTATTTCACTGTTAACCCAACCCACTTTGGGGAGAGTGGCACTGATCCTTGGGGCAAAGGGAAATGGGGTTCTAGGCAGCAGTGCTGCTTGAAGCTGTAAACGGGAATGGGGAGGAGTAAAGTTGAGCAGCTGGGAAGCCTCATCAGAGATGGAGTAACCCAGCTTCACCACTCTATGGCCCCTCTTAAAGGGGGATTGGACTGCCCTCTGCTCTAATGCCAGCTCCTGGGGCAAAGCACTGGGTGCTGTCTGTCCAAGGTACAAATGCTGTGTAATAAGCTGCCTCCCCTCTGCCTTATTCAATAAAGACTTTCCCACAGGCAGCCAGATGGGTTGATTTGAAACTGCACAAGACAAAAACAAGCAGATGTTCCTATGCCAGCTCTGGATGGAGGCGGCCAGCTGGGTCCCAGGGACAGGTTCTGAACTGTAGTGGGTGGCAGGTAGAGCTCACTGCTGCCCTCACTGATGTTACACAGGCCAGCTACCAGCACTTTCCTGGTTCAGGACACTCCTTATGTCCCCTCCCCTCATAGTGCTGATGAGCAGTACAGCACAGTCACCCTGTGCAACAGAACCAAATGTGCTGCAGACAGGTGTCAGGCCTAGGGACGTTAAATTTAGATTAACAAATCAAATAGTTGATGGGATTTCCATCAACTATTCGATTAGTTAATAAGGGCACCTCCACCTTTGAACTGCAAAAGGAAGCCCTGCAGGGCGCATGGGACCAACAGGGCATTGGCTCTGCACTCCCTGTGGCATCTCAGCCGTTGAAATGTACAAGAGCCACCCCCTCCCCAGGGTTCTTGTATATTTCAAAAGCAAAATCACAGCAGTACTGGCAGGAGCATGCTTCAGTCCCCACTCACTCTGTTTCTCCACCTCTCTTGTCTCCCGCAGAGATGGTACTGGGGGGGAAAACAGCTTTTAAGCTGGCTCTCTCCAACACTGGCTCCTGCCTCCATCAGAGAGAGGCAGCCAGGGGCCGGGAGGGTGAGCGACTAGTCATATTACTAGCTGAGTATCCGATAAGCTTATGCTTATCGGACAGTTGACTAGTTGCTTGCATCCCTAGTCAGGCCTCCTTGGGACCAGGAAGTTGGACAGGGTAATTTTTGGGCGCCTCAGTCATGTGGTGTGGTGCTAGGTACTGTAGAAACAGCAGGAGCCAAGCCCTACTTCCAGGCTTACATAGACCCACACCCTAGGAGTTAACTGCTCCCCATAGACAAGAATAGGGCCCAACTCCCAGACAGGAATTGGTGCTTTTAATGAACGATTTGGTTTCACATCAATACAAAAAACAAGGTTTTGATGCTAAGAATCACAGCTTCTCAACTATATACATAGTCCTAGCCCTGCAGGGACAGGTCAGCCTGCATCCAAGTCATCAAGAGTTGAAGGGAGAGTTTAACATATTGCACCCCAGTGTCTTGCTTAGGGACAACTCCCTTCTATGGTGTAGGACAGTATGACACCCCCACAGCAGATACTGAAAGGTGGAAGCCACTCAAGGGAGCACAACACCATGGGAAGTCATCCTCCCCCTTGACTTCCCATTCTACAACCTGTGGGTCCATGGTGAGGTTGGGGCAGGATTGGAGCACCGCCCCCAGGACGGTACAGACTCTCCACCCTCAGAACCAAGGATGCACAAAGTTAGACCAGTTGGGAGCTGGTGTGCAAGCCGCATCTGCTTCCAGGATTGGTGCTGGTAACTCACTTGGTGATGGTATTTCTGTTGAAGCAAGGAGAAAGGGGACATAAGCAAAGGACCCAGGAGGGGATGTTTCCTAGGAGAACTCAGGCCAGGGGAAAGGGGTCACCCCTAACAGAGGTCAATCACCCTTATATTAGTTCCACTAGACTTGGGAGACCCGTGTCCTATGCTCCCCTTCCAACCATCTGCCTGGGGATTTTAGGCCCTGGGACATGGCATGCCAGCATCAGGGAGGCCAGACCAACCACCTGATAGCCAGGAGGACAGGTACTTACGCGTTCATGCTCTTGCCACTGCCACTAAGCACGATGTAGGGCGTCTTCTGAGCCTTCTGCTTCTCCTGCAGCAGCGCCACTGTGCCCAAGGGGGTGTCACTGGAGCTCATCTTCTTCAGCAGCTGCGGGGAGAGCCTAGGTCAATAAAGCCCCATGCAGACTTTTACCAGCTCACCTGTGAGCCTAGGCTAAAAGCCAGGGATCCTCACTCAGTGCTAGGGCTGTATCAGCCCAACCCAGCCCATAGCAAGGGAAGAACTCCCCTATTTCAACAGCAGGGGATTAGAGAAGACAATTGATTTGAAGAGAAATTTGGCCAGGACCCCAGGCATAACCATCTGACTAAGGCCAAAGCAAGATCACTGATGACTACAAATAACTCAGCATTTTTCTGATGCAGAAGCACAGCACCCCCTAGTGCCACACTGAGGTACTGGAGCCAGCACTGACAGTGTGAAAACACCCACCCCATCTGAACCCCTGTGTCTCCCAGCTTGCCTCAGGCTTCCAATCCATGCCTGACACTGTTTACCCTGCAGTAAGCAACTGGACCTGCCCCCACCCATCCCCAGCCCTCCTGCAGCATCCTGCAGGTTCTGCTCTTGGGGAGCACCAGCCACATAGCCCACTCACCGCCTCCTCGTCCAGCTTCTTCATTCTCCTCTCTGTCTTCATCTTCCCAGAGCCCTTCCCATGGAAACGGTGAGAGAGCTGCCGGAAGGCCTGGGGGACAGAGTGGGGGTCATCACTGACTGGCACAGCCCCACCCAGGGAGCCTCCTACCACCCTCCACAGAGCACCAGGGGTGGGAAACCCACAACTCCCTTGCCCAACTGCGTGGCAGCAGGGGATCCTGCCACAGAACTCCTTTCACCATCGCAGCTCCCAACCAACCCTTTCACCACCAAAAGAAATAGCCTTATTTCACCATCAGTTGCTCCCCCAGCCAAAATTGGAGATGGGGAAGATGTGGCTGCATCAGGGCCCCTCCACAGAGCACCAGGGGTGGGAAACCCACAACTCCCTTGCCCAACTGCGTGGCAGCAGGGGATCCTGCCACAGAACTCCTTTCACCATCGCAGCTCCCAACCAACCCTTTCACCACCAAAAGAAATAGCCTTATTTCACCATCAGTTGCTCCCCCAGCCAAAATTGGAGATGGGGAAGATGTGGCTGCATCAGGGCTGCCTCCCGGCTCCCCCCGGCCGCCCCCCCCCCCCCCCCCCCAGCACCCCATTCCTACTACCTCCTTTGGGGTGAGCTTGCGACCTGTCTCGTCCACATATTCAATCTTGACATCAGGCTTGTAGCCATCCTTCTCCTTGAAGTCCTGGGTGAAGCCCCGGTACTCCTCCCGCCGGCTGTACTTGTCATCAATGGCCCTGCAGGAGCCCAACCAGAGAGTTAATTTGGGGGAGTGGGGGGAGGGATCTCCCTGCAGCCACTGCCGAGACTGGTGTGGTGCCAGTGGTTGCTCTCCCCTTGAAGCCAGCACTCAGCACAGCACTAGGGGCACTAAACCAGGGTTCTTAGCCCCCTGACTACTAATGATCCCCTGGCACTCAGGGACTTTCAATAACTTGACACCTGAGCCCAGAGCTATGATAGAAGGGACAGGTGTTCCTGGGTGTGCACAACCAGTGCCTACAGACCCCAAACCACCATTACAACTGCTCCCCTTGCTGCCAGTCTCCACTACAAGGCCATGGGCATTCTTCTGGGGGAACCTGCCACAGGGCAGGGCACAGGGGCACTGCTAACACCTATTCTGGCAACAGACACTATCACCCACACTACACCCCGTAGTGGTGGCAGGTGCTACAACCAGGCTAACACAGTAGGGCTTTAGTTTAGGCACCAAGACCCAGAGATGACAGATTCAGTCCCTGCTACTGATCTACCCTGGGGCTTTGCCTGCCCCACCAGGCCACTCACATCTTATCCTCAATGCAGTACACAGCAGAGGGCAGCGACTTGTTGGGGGCCTTCACCCTGGCCACCTTCTGCACGGTCGTCTCCAGCAGGCCTGACGGGGAGAAGAGGCATGGGTCAGGCCCTGTTCAGTGGCCATTAATGTTCAGAGAAGCTCCCTCTCAGAACACTAGCCCCTGGAGATCTCAGGTCTTGGATCACTCAGAAAAGGGCTTTCAGGGGCAGCACATTCTAGTGGGCTGAGCAGCAGAGTGGGACTCAGGACTCGTACGCTCTGTTCCTAGCTCTGACACATCTTTCCTCCTCCTACCTCTGGTCTGAGCAAAGTTCTCCTGGTCAGGAGAACCACAACTGTATTGCCCAACCTCACAATTGCACCGTCCAGCAGGTGTGCAGCTCCTGCCTTACTACAAATTCACTAGCCACCAGGAAGGGTTTTTAGAGACACTGAGGAGTCGGGCCTGCCATGAACAGGGAGACCGTCTGTGACGCTGTGTGAAATATGGGAGATGCCGATATCGATAGAGATCTAAAACTGCAAGGAATCTAACTAGATATGCTATTTGAGGCAACTGTGAAAGTGTTACAGTTTGCCAAGTAGGATAATTTTGTTTGTGTTTGTGTAGCACCTTGGTATCATGAGTTATAGGTATGTGTGGGATAGCTGTGTTTCCAAACTTGGGCTGTGTTTAGACAGATTGGCACGAGCACTAGCCTGCTTGATGGCCCGTAAAGGGACATCAGCTGTATAATGAGCCATTCCAGGGACTATAACTTGACTCAGCAAGGCATGCTGGGATGTGCCTATGGAGAGAACGCAAAGGCAAGAGTTCTCAAACTTGGGGATCATGATTCGTGACCCATCACAGGGGGTTCCAATGCTATTACATGGGGGGGCATTGCAAGCAGTCAGCCTCCCCTCCTTTAAAAAAAAAAACAAAACAAAACACCACACCACTTGATTCAGAGGCCTGCTGTGTGAAAGGGGTCACCGGTACAAAAGGGTGAGAACTAATGCTCCAAGGCCTTTCAATGCCATGTCCTAGAAGTTTGTGTTTGGAATAAAGAAAGTACCAGACACATGGCAAAAGGGCAGCTGCATCATCTCCATTTTGTCTTCACTGCTTCTTACCTCTGGAGGAACTGTGCTACAAATGGAAGCTCTGAACAACAGGCAGAGATACCCATCTAAGCGGTGGATGTGTTCCAGAGGGACTTTCAAGCCAGCAACTCACCAATATTGCCTAGAACCTGATACTGGAACTTTTAAATGGTAAAGCAGTCACATGTATACAAAGATTCACTTTCTTCTTTTTTATTAGAAATCTTTAGTTTTAAATGCTATAAGGATTGGCTGGCAGTGTGGTATTTTGGGTAAGAACCAGCCAATGTTCCCTCTATATTTTCCATCCATGGGCACCAAGGCGTGTGTGAATGTGCACCACCAGTAGAAACAAAAAACCCAGCAGTGGGTGCTCTGCTAATCAGCTGGGTAGCACCTGAATCTCTCCTGAGGGGCTGCACAAATGCAGAGCTTATGGGGAATAGTGGAGCCAAATTAATGCTGACCTGGCAATGTGGCTGGTCCACTGGGGTCATAAGAACATTTTTTTTTAAATACAAAAACACACACCACCTCTGCTCACTAAATAACTTCTCACTGTTCTGGACCCAGGTATGAGTGGGAGCCAAAGAAGTGCAATGCAATAAGGAGGCTACGTGATTCCTTCCTCCCACCCCACCCCCCCCTTCTTGATAACTAGTGTGAGGATCAGAAGCACAGTTGGTGACTCGCTGGGGAGTGTAACATCTACCCACCAGCCTTAGGAGTATCCGCTCCCCTTTTTGCAGCCTGTCGTGCCCTTGGCATTTCCAGTGAGAGATGCCCCAGACACACTAGGTCACACAGTCATGTGTATGTAGCACAGCAGGCAAAACTGGGGGATTCTAGGACAGGGGCCTCATCCTGAGCTCCCCACTTACCTTTATTCTGGCAAAGCAAGAGGGCAGCAGCTAGGCCCCGGTTCACTATGGGCTCCTCATCCAGGATAGTGGTAGAGGATGCTGAGAACTGCAAAATCAGGAGACAGGGCTTGGAACTATCTGCTTAGAACCCCCTGCTATGCCAGCTCTGGGCTCCTTCCACCCTGCTGGGGCCCCTCACTCTTGCCCCACAGCTTCCTGTTATCCCAATTCTGAGCTCCCCTCCTGCAGCTCTACCAATGGGCCTCAGATCTGACCTGCAGCCCCCGAGTTTATACGGAGGGGAAAAGGGTAAGTGAAAGTGACAATCCCCACCAGAAAAAGCTCTGACTGCAGTGATTCCTGTCCCCCCTCACACCTCCCTTTCCCCATACTCACATCTTGCTGCTGTTTCTCCTCATCTAGGTTGACTGTGCTCCAGCCGATGTTTTCTTCGCCATCAGAATCCGAGCCTCCATTTGCTGACCTCTCATCATCCCGTTCAAAGTCCTGACAGTGGAAGAGAGGCCAACTGGGGCATTAGCATGGCTGGCTAAGTGGAGCTGGGGGTCTCCCCAACTTCCATTAATAGAGAACGCATGTCCCAACATGCACTGCAGTCCCATGCTCCCAGGTAGGGCTGACCTAAGAGCCCAGAGTCCCAAAATGGAAGCACTTGGGCTGCCACAGAGGCCCCCCGAAGTGGTAGTTCAGCCCAGAGTCCCAAAATGGAAGCACTTGTGCTGCCACAGAGGCTCCTGGAAGTGGTAGTTCGATTGCTTCATATGCTCATTTTCCTTCATAGGCCAGACTACATTGCCCAGGATGCACTATGGCCAAGGACTCCCATGATGTAGTGCACCAGAGGAAAGGGCATGGTGTAGAATGAGAACGATAGCCAGTCCAAGCCCAGCCCATAGAGGAAAATGGGAGCATGAGGCACCTGGACCACAATTCCCCTAAGGCACGATGTCTGATTCAACCTTTAATCCACAACTATCCCAGTTCCAGGGCTCTCCCCCAGCCCACTCAGCTGTGCTGGTGCTGATCAGTCTCAACCTACACTCAGCTTGCTGCTATCGCAGTCCTGGGCTCTTCCACCTTGGCCACTCCGCCAGCACCCCTTAATCTTGACCCATAGCCCTCCATTGCCCTGCTAGCTCTGCTGATGCCCCTCCATCTGGGGCAGGTTCCTTACAGCCCGGCCCACCGTGTAAATGGAGACGGAATAGGAAGAACCTAGGGATGTTAAAATGCATTTATTCAGGTAAACATGTAACTGCTGAAAATTTCAGGTTACAGCGTGCATGGGGAGCCAGCTTTTGAGCCACCTCCCACCTGCCCCTATGCTACTGCCTCTGATTCAGAGGCAGCAGCAGGGGGGGACGGGACGGACACACGGGAGACAGCAGTTCCCCATGCACACCGGCTACCACCTGCCCCCCTACTGCTGCTGATATTGAAGCAGGGCTACATGTAACCATGCATGTTAACAATGAGCCCAGGCTCATCTGTTAACTGTGTACACATTTACACTTTCACAGCTTAGAGGAACCCTCAGGAAGCCGCACCATGAGCTCCTCCTGGTCCTCACGGTTGCCTGCCAGCCCATAGGTGGGGATCTCTCCCAGTGTGCGGCAGAACTCTGAAGTGGCATTGAAAACTATCGCTCCTTTCTTCTCCAGCTCTTCGTCATCCTCCCGGCTACGGCGTGTCTCCAGCTTCTTGACAATCTCAATGACCTGCTTTGGGAGCAAGAGGTCAGGTTAGACAGCAGCTGGGAGCTAAGGCAGGGGGCTCACACACTGGACCAAAGATCACTAAGAGCCCTCAGTTACGGCACTGGATCTGCATTCTAGGGAAGGGTGTGACTGTGCACCATGTGTTCTGTGAAGTGTTCAGTCAAGGAGCAGTCGAGGCCAAATCCATCCATCCATAGAACAGGGTGACTATGGAAAGAAGTGGGGTCTAGTGGATTGGGGGAACACTAAGAGCCAGGACTCCTGGGTTCTAGCTCTGACTTCATTCTATTCCATATGGAATAGCACTCAGACTGCCTCTCAGACCAAGATCAAAGCCCCCGCCTCCCCCCAACCCCGATCCCAGGCTCCTCACCTTCTCCCCACTCTCCTTCAGCTGCTGCATCTGCCGGAGCTTACGGCCTTTCTCCAGCTGCTTCTGTAACTCCTGCTCTGCTTCATCCTCCTCCAGGGCAACTGGGGATTTGGGCACCTTCTCAGCATCTTCTACAGGCAAAGAAACATGAGGCAAGAGGGGGGAAGAGGTAGTCAGCAATGGGATCTCATGAGGCCTTTGCTTCAGTAGGCTGGGCTCTGGGGAAGCATCAGGCCAGGCACTGGGGACTGCTGGGTAAGAAGCCAGGCTACCAGAGCCCTTGACACACTAACCAGTGTGCTTGATGCCAGGGACCAGCTTTGCTGCCATCTTAACTTGTGAGGGAGATCAGAGACGAGTGAGAGCACAGCTCGCTCTCCTCACAGAACAGGGGAGAGAACTCAAGGAGTCCTGGCTCACAGCCCCTCACCATCACTGCTGATTTCCATGTTCTCCACCCGGTTGTCATCTGACTGGAGTGGTAGGTCTGCAGCCTGGTTCGCATTCTGCTCTATGTCTCTTTCATCGTCATCGTCATCCTCCTCCTCCTCCACCTCCTCCTCTCTCTCCCTCTCCCTGTGGACTCTCCTCCCTCGGCCCCGTAACCTGTGGGGAGAATTTGATTAGCATGTGAGCCAACCTTCCCCTCCCTGCCACAGCCCTCTTGGCTACCCCACCCCAGAATTCCCTGCATCCCCCAGTTACCGGGAGCCAAAGTCATTCGCCTTAGTCTCATTGCCCAAAGGTACTAGATCATCTGCTTTCACCGGCTTCTCCTTCTTCCGCAGCTTCTTCACCCGCCGTTTGACCTTCTTGAAGGTGACATTCTGCAAGGAGAGACCAGAGTGGTGAGTAGAGCACAGCCCCCATCCCTCACCCACACAGAAGGGTCCTGGCCTGGTTGGTGGCATCTTGCCCTAATTTTCATGAGCACCTATGGCCTAGCACCTTGCCAACCACCCCCCCACACACCTACCTGAGCAGCTGGAGCCCTGCACTGCACCAATTCTCCCTGCCCCTGCCAAGCCTGGAAACCTAGAGCCACAAGTGCAGGTGCACACCCCGTAATGCCATCCCCTAATACATACCATGAGCAAATGGGACAAGGCACTGCCTTTAACCCACCAAGCCAGGTTGGCTGGGGCCCAGAGCTCAGCTCCAGTCCCTGCCAGCCCACAGGGAATCTGGTATCCAACCCCTCTTTGCCAATGTCCACCATGGATACATGGCAGCACCATTTTGGGACTGGGAGCCAGGACTCCTGGGTTCTATTTCCAGCTCTGCCATTAACCTTGGCATCAGTCCCATCTCTTCTATGCCCCAGTCCCACTTTTTGTCTAGTCAGACTACAAACTCTTTGAGGCAGGGACTGTTTCTGTGCATGGGAAGAGCCACTATCCCAGTTTGGGGGACCTGTGCTTTGCCTGGTGCACAATGAGGCCCTGATCACAGTCACCTCTGCAGCACCTAGGATACAAGCCCCCTCTAGGCACTAATGCAGAGGTCAGGGCTGCTGACCCACAGAAAAATCAGTTGGCCACAAACAAGCAGCAAAAACCAAAACAACAACAAAGTCTCATGTGGCCCCCGAATGAGAAGACAGACACTCTCCTTGCACACCAGAGCCTAGGAGGGCTCAGGCTAGTAGGTTTTTTTTGTGCTCCAGCCCTGCAAGGAAGTGAGGGGGCTGGAGTGCCAGCACAGGCTCCCCAGTTTTTGTGGGGGGAGCCTCAGGGGCCAGATCCAGGCAAGCTGGAAGCTGCATCCAGCCCATGGGCCTTAGGTTCCCCACCCCTGCACTCCTGTAACAGAAATAGCAACATCAGTCTCAGCTTCATAAAGTTTAAAGATCCAAGTCTGGGCTTTGTACAGCACAGGCCAGGAATTTCACTCAGTTCCCCAAATTAAGTCAAAAAATTAAGCATCTCATCCCTCAGGCACTAACTTTTAGTGAACCCCATATGCAGTTGGCAGGAGAGAGCAAGAGGCCAACAACCGAGGCCCAGCAGGCAATCCCTGCCCCAGGCTGCAGTAGGTGGTGAAAACCCCCGAGGACCCTGCCAATCTGACCTTGGTCAAATTTCTCCAACCCCAAATTTAGCTTTCAACTGGACCCTGAGCATCTGGATAAGGCCCATAAGGCTGGCAACTAGAGAGAGAGCCTGGCCTGCCCTGTTCGATCCATCCCACTACTATAGTGAGGAGCTAGATTCTGGAATAAACAAGGAGCTGGTGCTAGCCTCCTTACCATCTCTTCTGGGGTGAAATACTCCGAGGCCAGCTGTAGACTAGGCATGTCCAGGCTCTGGGCTTGGCTCCGCAGGCTATCGCGAACCTGCTGCAGCTCCCGCTCCCATGAGCCATCTGCCATGCCACACGAGTCCAGCTTGAAAGATTTCTTCTTCTCCCCTTCAATCTCTTCATCATACTTGGACAGGATGTTCTTGTGCTTATACTGGGGGAGAGACAGCATGTGAGCGTCCAGAAGAGTTCTCCCACGCCCAGTCCTCCAGGATCAAGGCAACATAAGGCGTTCCAGCTGGAGTGAGGGGGGAAATCAGAAGGACGGGGTTTGCTGCTCATGGGCAGCTCATGTCTTCCCCACCATTTTTCCTTCAGGCTTCCACTCAGGATATGTCTTCCTCTCTGCTGACTGGCTATTTCCTTTAGCTCCCCGCCCACTCCCCCAATTCATGTCCTCCATCTTTCGTGATCTGGTTAGCTATACTGCCCACAATCCCACAGGCAACCTGCCCCAATTAATCTCTTTGGATCTGGTTTGTTTAAGGCCCAAAGGAACCATTAGAGCATCCACTCTGACCTATTACAGGCCAAACAATTTCACCCATTTTCCCCTGGACTGGGCCCAATATCTTGTGTTTGGCTAAAGCCTCTCCCAGAAAGGCCTCTGGTCTGGATTTGAAGGCATTAAGAGATCACTTAGATTACTGTGTCTGGAGCATTGCCTGCTATCCCTGGGGGCCCCCACCTCCAATCTCAGCCATGAAGCAGGTCACAGAGGAAGAGATCACAGCACCATCTACAATGCCCTTTCCCACCCTGTGCAGATGCTTCACACCTCTCAGGATCAGGGTCTGAACTGCAGTCTCCATGGTCAAAGCAAGTCACTTCTAGTCCTGGCAGGCAGTGGAACCAGGAATCCACCCTCTGAGTAGGCTGGTCCTCAGCCTAACCTACATGAGGGCATCTTCCCAGGCAGGGCAGGAAATGCTCTGCATGCTAAGCGCATAGCCCTCTTGTGCATGGGTCTCAAAGTCACATCCCAGGTAGTTCCACAATTCAGCCCACACACAGCTGCTGGCACATTAGTCCCTGTGGCCACTTTGGGGGAAGGGTATGGACCCACACTCCAAGTCCAGCCTCTGCTCCACCTCCCTCATTCTTCCTGCCCCACCCTTTCCCTCCATCACACCTCTTCCCTCAACCCCCCTCCTGAGGGATGTGGCCTCAAGGATTACTGACTGGCAGGGGGTGTGAGGGAGCAAGACCTGGCACAGGACAGCCTTTCCCCACCCTCCCCCACTGCAGCAACAGGAGTCATAAGGAAACAGAGCAACAAAGGAGCTTCTGCTATGCTCCGCCGCCATCTTGTAAGCCAGACTGTTCACTCCACTTCATCAAGGTGGCAGAAAACTGAGCGCCCTGGTAATGGGCTGCCTTGGGAGTTGGCAGAGAAGGGGAGCAGGCTGCTGCATAACTCTGATTCACCACAGCTCCTCACAGTGAATGTGGTGGGCCCAACCCCTGCTGCCAACCCCAGCCCACCTAGGGCCATGCAAGCTAACCTAAGTATGGGGCAGCAAAGCGTGGGGCTGGGGCAGCTGCGCCAGATCATCCTACGGACAAGATGACTCTGCACACATCTCCCCAGGCCACAGGGAAGCAGGGTAGAGCTAGCAGCCAGAAACTGCTCTAGCCTTGTTGTACTGCTGGTGGTGGCACCAGGCTCCTCCTCCCCAAGAGGAATTAAAATGTCCAGAAGCAGCAGGGAAGGAT